GGCCGTGAAAACATATTAAAAAAAAAAAAATATATATATATATATATATATATATATATGTGTATATATATATGGGCATATATATATGTTTATGTATATATATACCCTTATCAGGAATACATACAGATGTCCGTGTTTTGCATATGCATATAAATATATATATATATATATCCACACGTGATAAATTCATTTACTTTATTACTATTTATATATTTACACGTAGGCACATATAAATTCTTAAGGAATGTAAATAAACGGAAAGAAAGAAAAAAAAAATTTTTACTTACATGTAAAGGAAAGAGAAACAATAACGATAACAAAAACAATAAGATTTACATGATGTCGATAACACAATTCGCCTTAAAATCAATTAAGTTTATAATTAATTTTTATTTACTTCAGCAAATAAAAGGAAATGCAATTGAAAAAGTTTATTAATAATGTGCTAAATACCCCTAACGTTTGGCAATAAAAGCTATACTCGTTTCCTCATATTATTTGTAACCTTTCAATGCACAAGCATGCATGTTGTGAGCTTATGCTTACATTCAAAGCATATGTAAGACATATGTCATAGTATACTATTATAAACGTTATGGTCTCAACAGGTCAAAATTGTTCATATATTGTATTCTTGGATTCGTCCATCTCCCATACTCCAAAAGTATGCATATGCGAGAATGAATAAGAATTTATAATATTTAAATATTTTTTTTAATCTGGAATTTTGACTCGATCAAGTCACATTTCTGCCCCATGGCCGTCTAATGGTAAAAGGTAATGGTCACAATAATTGTTATAGAACGCGAACATTCCGCATGCATATGTCTAATCGATGAGATTGAGATTAAGTGAAGGGAATGAATGTAATCTGCACATTAACACGCTCAATGTGATGAGAAACAATGAATAATAACTTACCAGAAATATGATCGGCAGTGATGCCTTGAGATCCCTATAATATGCAAAATATATATTTTTTAAAGTTTTATAAATACAATCGAAATATATATAAAACACAATAGACGTGTTCTCCCATTTATGGCGGTTAGAAATACGTATCGAAGAGTATGTAAATAAATAACAAGTAAGCAAATTTTATTCGACCATGACCGAATTTTTTATATCCATCACCATTATCCCAAAAAGACAAGAAAGTAAAAGAACTAAATTTTCATACCATATAGCGAGCGGGCAAGGCTGATTTTTACTATTTTCAAAATAAAAGTTTTTGCCGCATAGGCGCATTGGCGTCGTAGACATGTCCTTTGAAAATTTTTGGGGCATTTTCAAATTCAATCGCTTGACGATATCTTCATTTTTGCGAACTCGAGAATATTTACCCCAGATGGTATACAGCTGGGCAGACGGACAGACGGATACGCTTAGGTGAATTTCAAATTTGATATTGCTTCAGAATTCATATACTTTATGGGTTTTTTGAGACTTGTTTCTGCACATTATAGAGATATAGAAATAAAATTAGATTTTGATATTGGGTATGCGTTGACTCGTTTTTCCATTTTCGTGCAAGTGCCACAACATCGCCTATAGAATATACGTTCAAATTTTTGCTCATTTATCTGTCATAGTTTATGAATAATGAGCAAAAAAGTAATTTTTTAATCTTTTTGTTCTCAGTTTACGTGGTTCTGCGAGCGCGTCCTGCGATCGACTTGGCCTTTTTTCAATACCAATTTGCGTGCTTCGAACTTCGAATGTTTCTGTCAAATTTGAAGTCGATAGCTTAATTCTTGCGGCCAGGAGGATGTTTACAAAAGACATTACACAGACGGAGAGACGGTTATGCTTAAATCGATTCAGAATTTGATGCTGAACAAGAATATGCATACTTTGTAGGGTCTCCGACGTTTCCTTCTGGGCGTTGCAAACGTGTTCACGAAATGAATCATCCTTCGATGATGCATATAAAAAACGGTATCGCTACTTCTTTAAATACTCATTTCGGCATGTTAAGCCGTTCTTACTGAGTACGTTGTGGAAGATGGACTTGCTTATTTGCAATACAAATTCTGCTGGTGATGGCATATGTGGCGTTATAGCAGTACCTTGCTGACACTGTGGCTTCCAACACTTGGAAAACATTAGGTTTTATGGTGATAACTTGTCTAGTGAACTTATATATTCTCGATTTAGATAAATTAAAGAAAGTGCCATAAGAGTTGAAAGGAAAAGTTTTTTTGATGGATTTACCAAAGAGTTCACACTAAGCGAACTTATAATTCAAAAGTTTTTTGCAATTGAGTGCAAAAATAGTGTTTGTTGTTGAGCTGACTCGAACACCACTAACGAATCCGTTCGCAATTTTCAAGAGCTTCGAATTTTCTTCCTTGCTATACTTCGGCTTCACATGGCAGCCGTCTAAGGTGCGATCAAAGCGAACTGAATTTTTTGACTAGCTTAGACGTAGTAACATATTCTCTGTTAATGCTATATTGCTAACTGTATGTTTAATCTTTCAATCCTGACATCCAAGAATCACTTAAAAGAAGCGTTTAGTTCTCTGCGATCCTTTTTATACAAATATTGAGTGATTTCTCTTGAATAGAAATATTGCATGGCTAATCCGCTATGAAGTTGGCAAGTTATGGTTAAAAATACCTTCTAATATATCTCTCATGTTTATCTCTCGGTTTATCGTATGCGAAATTGTATACAGGATTTTAAATCGATTTAACCTATGTATATCAATTTTTTTTTACCTAAAGTGGAATTATTTTTCAGAATTTATTTTAAAAAAATCATGAAAAATTATGTTAATATTGGAAATTTTACTTTTGATAGTACAAGTCTTAAACTATCTAAAAGACTGTTGCGTTACATTGATTAATGACAAAATGATGGCATCGCAACATCGTGTCTTACCGTACAGTTTCCGATCAAAATTTTGCATCCAAAACAACAAACACAAAAATTTTTTTGAAAATATGACTAGAAACCAAATTTTTTTATAGCTGGCCGTAGCATCAGGAAGTTTTATTTCACCGAATTGAAACAATTAAAATTACGAGGTAATCATATCCAAAGTTGAAGCAGTAA